TACTCGCAAGTTTGGTTTCCCTGGTTTTTGTATATAAACTTATCCGTATTACTTAGAATAGCTTCTACTTTGTTGATGTAATCCACTTTATTTGAAATGACAACCATTAAGTTTATCTAAGTTGAATGTGAATAATAATGAAAAAGTTATCTATCATGCTGACGAATTAAATATAATAACTTTAATTACTTAAACAACCTACCACAACTGTCTTAGAATTGTTATTAATCATTAGTATTTTTTATTTGCAAGCTATCCAAAATACGTCACTAGAAACAGATGTTATAGTCTAGCTTCAAAGTAGAAGGAAAAAAAAACCTCGCATAACTTACAAGAACGTCTTGCTTAGTTGTTCTAGTACTCAAAAGTTTTCTAACAAATGTGTATTCAGTTGCGACTGTTCAGTTCATTGATACTTAAGATAATGTTATATAAGATTAAAACGAGACAAAGTAAGAGTTAGGCCGTGAAGAAGGAGGTTAAAATGTTATGGGACTAGAATCTAAAAACGTTGCTGATAGACAGCTCAAAATACCAACTGAAAACGTTAGGACTGTGAAGACAGTACTCATAGTTATTATTTTTGTTTCTGTAAAAAAACATTAATCTATGTTCGAAGGACTTCAAACACCTCACTAAGAGATAGCAATCATGTTAAAGCAAGTTAAATGAAAATTGTTTCATTATGGTGGGTGAATATCATATATCCACGGTTGGAAACAAATCAGATGTAAATATAGGCCCCAAAAGTAAATCTTAAAAGACTGATGTTGAAGCATTGTTATCACATAGAAATGGAAAAGAAAGGATACTAATAAAAGTAAGTGAGGTTGACGTAGTTTAGATGGATTTAAATACCAAAATTCAATTATATGGTTAATACCGTATAGTTTTTTTGTGTGAAATCATAGAAGGAATATAATGTCATATATTGGGTTCCACTTGATTTAAAATATTGTATTGTCGGATATCATCCAACACGATATGAAATCACTTTTACAAATTAAGCTAAAAAATAGGATGATGAGGAGTTACTGATGATAATTTTCCATTTCAGAAAAAACAACGTTGTTGGAAATTTCTTTATTTCATCACCATGTAAACTACGACTTCCGTAGTAGCCAAGTAAGTCTGAAAGTAAAAATAGTTGGATTCATGGCTACTGATAAGTAATAGATTAAAAACCAGAGAGTTTATATTTATTTCTTGATAAGTCTTTCATTTGTCAATCCTAGACGAATCCAGTTAAAAGCTCGGTATATTTAATCGCCCATTCCGATTATGTCGGATAGAAATCACTTGTGTTTGTCCCAAAATAACATAAAATAGTATACGTGAGTATGCGTGTGAAAGGATAACGAAATAACAAACTTTTAGACAACAGCTCCTGAAAATCATTTTATTCTAAACAAGCAAAGAAACATACTAGTAAAAAGAGAGGGGATCAAACATTCAGTTGCCCAAGTGGTGCCTTCTACACACGATAGCACCAGTTCACAGAAAATACAAATCTGAGTACAACATGGATTTTCCTGCGAATCAACATAATTTTTAACTTAAAAATCCACTCCAAAAACACACAGTTTCCATCCAAACACAAATGTTGATATGTGAAACATAGGCGGATATAGTGCTTATCCAAACAGCGTTTGAATTATTCACATCCGTCAGTTAATATTAAAAATCTAATGCCCTTCTCGTTAAAAATTAATATTCTAGCCGTATCTCGTTATCATGAACAAAAGTTGGAAAGCAACGGGTTGCGCGTTATTTTTTGCTTTATTGAATAATGTTTACTTTATATAAAGAGCAATTTTATGATTCTTTTTTTCTGAAAAGTTCAGCAATACAAAGCATCTTTACACTTTAATGTTGTTTCTTCATTCAATTCTGCTTTATAGTTAGCAAAATCTCATAGTTTCTACATAAGCATGAAACTTGAAATGTTAACACGTGTTAGGTGAGTGCTTGTTAAAATATTGATTTTCGAGAGATTTTTAATGCTTTTAGGAAATGATCACATTATTGATATTAGCCCTTTAACTGCCTTGGGGACATAGATGTCCTCTCCCTCCTCTTGAGTACTGTTACCAAAGTTTGGAATTTTATACCACCATGAAGTTTTTCAAAGCTTAACACTTTCAAGTTTCAGGTCAGTAATGAAATATCAAATAATTAAAGCATGTGTCTTTTTTGCTTTGTATTGCATATCTACAAACGACCGTGAGGCTGGGGGAGTTGTTTATCTATGAACATGACAGAGAAAGAGTTCAAGATTACTCCTAATTAGCGTAGAAAATGCTAACTTAGGTTTTACACAAGACTGTACACAAAGTAAATCACATAATATGTTTAAACACCTTGATTTTTACAAACTGCATACACGCGTTAATAGGAAAATATTGATTATTACATGGTCAAACGTGACGTTTCGAACAACTTGTAGTTAACATATTGTATATATATGTGTTAATATGAAAATATTGATTTTATTTGTCCAGGTAAGTGTGATTTTGAACATCTTATATCTTACATACTGCATACACGAGTTAGTAGGAAAATATTATTCTTACATGGACACACGTGTCATTTCGAAAACCTTGTGTTTAACATACTGCATACATGTGTTAATATGAAAATATTGATTCTTATTTGCCTCGATGTCGTTTTTGAAAACCTTGTATTTAACATACTGCATACATGTAGTAATATGAAGATATTGATTCTTATTTGCCTCAATATCATTTTGAACACCTTGTATTTAACATACTGAAAACATGATTATTATGAAAATATTGATCCTTGCATGCTACATAGATGTGTGTTAGTTTTACTCTTCAGTTTCTAAGCCAATTTCTTAATACAAGGTTTCACAATTTCCTTCACTTAATAGGACAAGCGATACTATAATAACATATTTATTTTGTAGTTCTTAACCCTGGAACTTGGGGATCATTTAAAGATAGAATCCTAATTGTTAGAAGTTCATTGGGTTTCTAATTGCTGATTTCACTTCAAAGTGTAAGTTATCTTATGATGTAATAATATTTCAAAAATTCTGATCGTGACTGAGAGACATAAGTTAATTTTTTGTGTGGTAATACACACAGATAGTCACATTTGAAACCTTTTCTTTTGTGTGAGGAGAGACTTGTGTTCATATTAACCCTTTTTCCTGACATAGTTTGCGAACAGGAATTACGCATTATTTAACATCAAAATAGGAACCTTCTTACTTAAACTAGATAAAAACACACAATTAAACAGAAAATTAGGAATCACTACAGGTAATTAGAAAGCTCAAACTAGTTCATAATTGCCGGCCCAGAGCCGACAGCAGTAGCTGCTTCACAGCACCACCTATAGAAAGTTTTTAGTACGGAAAAGCTAGCAGAAATGGTTTCACTCTCTGTCAGCTTAGGCGTTTTTCAGAATTAAATGTTCTATGGCAGTTCTACGAGGTTGCCTTTTTGTGAGCGCTGACAACAAATCTGACCTTTTCAGCATGATTATAAACTTACATTGCAAAACACATAATTTGGTCCAATAAATGTGGACATTAAAAGGATGGACACAGGGCTGAAAAAAGTATTGTTCATTTGAGGCATCATGGGAAATATCTGAGATGATTTCTTGCAGTTGAATGCACATTACTGACGCAACTAACCGTTACATGAGTAAGAATGAAGGGAGCATCGAAAGAGTTCTTAACTGCTCAATCATGAGTAGTTTTGTGCTTTTACTTTTAAATAGATACAAAATAATTCATAAATCAAAAGTAGAACAAACAGTTTTCCGAAACTTCGATGAAGGCTAAAAGTTTTGAAGTTTATGTTTCATATCTCTTGAACAAGAATGCTAGTACGAACTTCACAACGTACAAATTTATAAGATATCACAAGCAACGCTGAGCATTATGAATGTAAATGTAAACAAGTTACAAATAATTACAAAAGTATCATGTACAATGAGCTTGCATAATGTACTTCAGATGCTGTAATTGAACCGTTATATGAATAAAAGTTATTTTAGTTGTTTTTCTCACTTACATACCTGTGAAACTCTGTTATTTATTACGATACCAGTAAAAAGTCTTTTTTTCCCTCAGGTAAAACACAAGTAAAATAGGAATATTTCTAATTTACATCTTCATGTTCTTGAAAAATGTGAGTTTAAATGAAATAATTTCGAATAAAACATAAAAACCAATTAAATCAAGTATTGTTTATATATAACAACATGTATCCATATACTTTTTCAATTTTTCTTTTGAGATGGTAAGTACAATCCTTTAGCTCGGTTTGCAGATAAAAGTGTTAAAAATAATTTCGCATACAAATTACAAATGAAACAAAAACTACTTTGTAAATCATGTTACCTCATGAAGCAAAAAAAACAAACAAAAAAAACATTTTGGTAGAACTGTTACAAAAAGAAATTGTAGCTACATAGGTTTGAGACGGCATGACATAAAAACAAACAAACAATCTATACATGTGGTAATAATTGCATCAACTGTTAAGTACAGTATTACATGACCAAATAAACCACTGTACAAAAAGTGCAGACCTTTAAAGCAATATCCCTGAGATTCTGCACAGTCCATACCAATAACAATAGAAAAAACATAAATACAATACAGCATAACAATCCATTGCAAATAATTCTGTACTAATTATGACGACATAAAACGTAAAAAAAAGTATATGTTTGTGTGTTTGTAAAGGCATGTTGACTTATCGATAGGTAAAAAGTGCCAATTTCTAAATATATGGACTTGGTCAAATTCATGATAGTAAACCTGTCTGGTTCCTCATTTTTTTGGCAGGTTTAAACACCTATAATACTTACTTTAACCACTTATTCTTATAAGAAAGTAAACATCTTTTGAGTAAATTAAACACTTATTTAAAAACTTCACGAATTAATAGAAAAAAAACTACAAATGATGTGTTTCCGAATTAATATTGATATATATATATAATTAAAGTTTCCTTAGCTCGGAATAGCTGTGTTTAAATAAATATTGAAATATGTCATTTGAAATTATGGGGCTATCTTATATACATTAGATTTAAAAAAAAACACGTAAGAGATAAAGTAACAAAAAGGCGTGATTGTGACCTGACCTACATTTCTTTTAAACAACGAAAATCCTATCACATGCACGCACTAAATCATGTATCTCGACACAAATACTCTGCATGGCTTATTTTGTTAGATAAAATGAGCTAGAGATTGTATTCGTAATATTTTTTTTATACGCTGAGTACAAACAACGATAAAAAAAAACGTTTTGACACTTCTAAGAAACAATATTATTATTGTTGTAGGATGGTCATTCGATAAACTGCAGATAAGCTCCTCAATAAGAAAGGCTGAATATAATCTTCACGTTAGGAAATTCAATAGATAAACTGTAGATAAGCTCTTCAATAAAAAAGATTGAATTGACAATCGTCCCGTTAAAAAATCTACACGTAAACTGCAGTTAAGCTCATCAACAAAAAAGACTGGGTTGATAATCTTCACGTTATGGAAATCAATAGATAAACTTCAGACAAGCTCATCAATAAGAGAGATTGTATTAACAAGTTCCACTTTAGGGAAATTAATATATAAATTGCAGATAAACTCATCAATAAAGAAGACTGAATTGATAATCTTCACATTAGGAAAACCAATAGATAAACTGCAAATAAGCTCATCAATAAGAAAGACTAAGTTGATAATCTTCACATTAGGAAAACCAATAGATAAACTGCAAATACGCTCATCACTAAGAAAGACTGAGTCGATGAATCCTCATGGTAGGAAGTCAATGGATAAAACGTCACAATAAAACGACGGATTGCCCATGGAAATGACAAGTCCAATGCTTCAGATCTTTATGTTTCTCGATTTCTGTTTGGTTTCAAGCTCTACAACCACAAAGACATATAATGGGAAATTATGAAGTCATTAGAAGACAGACTACATTGCTAGCTGCCAAAAATATTTCAGTGTACAGATAGCAGCAGCATCATAGCAGACAGTTCCTTGTCTTGCACAAAAAAAAACACGACAAACGTCAATCTTCTGTCACACGATCAAGAAGAAAAAGGCACTGTATGAGTTGAGAGTAAAATGGCCGTTACGTCAACCGACTTCGGTGTGTTTGAGCAAACAGGACTCCTTGATACATCACGCCATTTATTTCCATACTTACTACTAAGGAATTGTCTACCTGGGCTCGCCCATCACCTAAAAAAAACGTTTAAGTCAAGAAAATGTTAATTAAGTTAGAACCAATGATTTCAATAACCGTCTATTCTAACTAACACTTTATCTATTCTTATCACTAGGAGTCTTTTTTACTTTACAGAATATTCTAGGAAGTTTCCAAAACAACATGAAATAAATAAATATAACTTAAAATCTCACTCTCAAGATAATAGATTCATCTTACCTCTGCTTGTTATTTTTAAATGAGCACTTGGCATTGTTGTACGTGCCCACAGAAGTTCATCTTCAGAAAGAAATCGCTTTGCAGGAGATGTGGCGATGTTGTCTTCTATTTTGCGTGTGGTGCTCTCTGGCGGTCGAGATAGATGATCTGAGTTACGAGGTTTTTCAAGATTCAAAGCCTCTTGTTGCGGGACTATTAATCTTGCAGGGGTGGTGGAGATACTCAAACTATTATCCTCTTCTCCTACCAATCACAAAATTATTCACTTATATACCTTAAAAATAATAATGATAAATATATTTTATATTAATCACAATGTAAAATAGACGTACACACACACACACACATATATATATATATATCATAACAATAGTTTTTAGCCACTTTTCTTGCGGTTCTAATGCCAACACGCTCTATGTAAGTCTTATTCATTATTTGAAAAACTTCTGAAAGAAACTATGATATCAGCTTACTTTTAAGTAACCCTCTATACCATTAGTTTTTTTTTTATGGAACCCACCTTACTGTTAGGTTATATTTAGACGTTTCCTCCAGCTGAGTATCAAATCAACGTAAAAATATATTATCCTTAAAGGTACTGTTCAAAGAAGTTTTAGAAACAATGTTCACGTCAATTAACGTGAGCATTATAACTTTTAATGTAGAGAATTCCAGGGTATATAATTTGGTAAGTGTAGGGCTCCAAATGATATAATTGTATATAATTTGATGAGTGTAGGACTATATCCTCTCGAGTCCTACACTCATCAAATTATATACAATTATATCCTCTGGAATTGTATATAATTTGATGAGTGTAGGACTCCAGAGGATATAATTGTATATAATTTGATGAGTGTAGGGCTCCAGAGGATATAATTGTATATAATTTGATGAGTGTAGGACTCGAGAAGATATAATTGTACATAATTTGGTGAGTGTAGGGCTCGAGAGGATATAATTGTATATAATTTGGTGAGTGTAAGGCTCGACAGGATATAAGTGTATATAATTTGACGAGTGTAGTGCCCCAGGGAATATAATTTAAACAATTTGACGAGTGTAGGGCCCCAGGGAATATAATTTAAATAATTTTATGAGTATAGGAATCAAGGGAATACAATATGATCGATGTAAGATTCCAAGGATATAAATTTACATATACTGATAATTATAAGATTCCAGTGATTTCCATAGATTAGCTGGCAGCAAGTGATTTAAACTATCTATATATCCATTTTTGTAAAGAAATTGAAAGAAACTTATACTGAAAAGCAAAAATGGTGAGAAAAATAGAGTTAGGCCTCCAAAGTTACCCTTTCTATAGCTCATACTAGAGCCTAATTGTGCTACAGGTATGATCAAATGAATGGGAGTATATATATTATTGCATGCCCCTGATAAATACAGGTCTACCCTTCAAGAGCTTGAATTATAGGGTTTCTTATTTTTGTCTTAAGGCAACAAATATATGGTTTTTATAAAGAAAATTAAAGATATATAATAAGCCTTGCTATATTTACCACTGTTGTTCACATTTAGCCAAAAAATCGTTGATATATTATGCATAGAGGTTATCACGTTTCTAATTAAACAAAAACTTACGTACGGAAAGACCTGTGAAGATTATATACAGACCTTAAAAATCTATGCTTTTTGGATTGGCACACATGAGTTTTTAACACATTATATTTTCTGAATATTATGATATAAATTCTATTTGTGGCCCAATAAGACAATAAGTCTTTATTTAAATTAGGTTCTGCGTAGCATACAAATTGGCTCATACTTAGACTTAAGAAGAAAATAGGAGTAACTATTGGTTATCTCTCATATCTATCTATCTGAGAAAATACAGCTTCATTAACTCTTGTTTATCGCAAAGTAATATAATAATCAGCTGAATTTGAATGCAGATGACAGGAAACGGCTTGCTTTTGTAATAAAGTTTCTGCTACCAATGCTGCTGAAGTGTAAATTTGCATTAAAAGGTTTACCAGTTTGCAGAAACTTCAAAACAAGAAACGAAAATTAAGTACTTTACATTGAAAGTGTAAAAACTAAGTTTTTTGTAACACAAAAAGCTATCTGTGGGGAATCGCCCCTAATTTTGAACTACGGCCAACACTTTGGCTACTCTTATCTGAACAAATAGTGGTATTGACCATCACTCTCATAACCTACCCAAAATCTCAAAGCGCGGAGCGTGTTTTTGCACAACAGGTTATGGAACATGAAGCCTCGGATCGACAACCTAAGCAAGCTAACTACTGGGTCACTCCTGGTTCAAAAACTATGTTTTAAATTCAATAACTTCTTCAAACGAAAACATGACTGTAAACTAAACTGAATAACAATTATGCCCGCAATATTAAAAGCTTTATTAAAACAGTCAAGTTCAGAGGCTATTACGTTGATCTGAAGTTTAATTCCATGTTGACGTTTATAATGACAAATTGGCTCGATCGTAACGGGCAGCCTTCACCCCTCCCTAAAGTGTAAATACTCAGTTTCTAGGTAGATTTATGGCGACGTAATTTTTGTTCCTCATCGTAGAGAAAACACTGAAATGTTTCACAAAGGCAAACTTCAAAGACTCAAAGAAATTCGATTTGGAAATGGAAAACTAGGATTTGCAGTCACATAAGCACAAACGATGTTTCATCTCAAAACATTTTCCTCCAATTATTTCTTCAGCAGAGATACACCCATTAGAAATAGCCCACTGACCCTGAAAGTGATTTATCAAAGCTATTACATATGCAATATTCGGAGAAGGAATAGAATGTAAGCTCCCCCAACACAAGGTGCATGAAGACTGACGCCACCTATTGCTCTAAACGATTTATTCTCGAAGAAGGAGTCCCACGGTCGTGCCCTTCAAAAAGAAATCGGGCGCAGAGAAATTACAGAGCATGGCTTGTTTATTGACGTTTTATGTGTTTGAAATTCTCGGAATCAGCGGCTTCAAACACTGTAGTCCCATAGCCAATGGCATTGCACTACTGCCTGGAGCCGTCTCAGCGTGACGATCTTTCTCTGAAGGATTTACTTGTACAATCAAATTAGTAGTTTCCTTGGAATAATCGACTTTTTTCAACCTTTGGAAATATAAGTCATAAATACGCGAAGGTTAGGTTTGCATAGTGTCTGAGCGAATGAACGATCTGATTAGCAAATGAAATCTTTATCTGGTTGAAGATAGCGAATTCAAAATTCTAATGTATTTTTAGAAAGGAACTAAAACAAGATCCCTCACTGATCCATTATATGTAATGATATGGATTTATGTTCACTACTGGCAAAGAACACTCCATCTTGTTTTATCAGCTCACTTCCATACAAATTTATGTTACACAAATTACAAACGTTAATTTCCTCTGAAACGTGACATGCAACGCTTTATAACTCGAGACATTTCAAAACTTATGTACAGTCTATTTATCAATGTGCATTTCATTTTTGATTCTTTACTGATACTTATAGCGACTGTATGAACAAAAGGGTAGTTCATATATATAATGTTTGATTTATTCTTCACTCACCTAAAGTGCCCTACATTTATAAAGATATTTGAAAAATAAATAATATAAATGCTACGAATTTATACTTTTTATCTCTTCAGCATATAGACCTATTTAGATAAAATTTCTCTCATCACCAAATTGTGAATTTCACTAAGAAGAAAACGTGCTCTTGAATCCTTATTTTCATGACCCAGTAACTTTTTGTTTTCAAATGCAGCTACTAATGCGAACGCTGCATGATAAAAATACTAAATTATTGGATTTCTTAGCCTTTTTTTTACTACTAGAAGCCCCCGGAGGCTCAGTGGTAAGTTTGAGAGCTTATAACACTGAAAATCGGGTTTATATACCCACAGTGGGCAGGGCATAGAAAGCCATTTTGTAGCTTTGCGCTTTACAACAAACGAATGCTACTAGAAAGAAAAACAGTAAATTCAGGTTAAATTTCAGATCTATGAAAATCGGAATATGGAAAGAGAATATCATTCAAAACAATAGGAGTATTTATTAACAGAAATTCCCGTGATGTTGAAAAGCTTTTGTATTCCTTAATTCTTTTGTTTACTATTTTAAAAAATCAAAATATCTTAGTCCTGATACTAATTATAATAACTGAAATCAAGCATCAGATCCCTATAACCTAAAGTAATACACAGCACAAAATTACTTTTTCTGTGTACATTAATGTCATTTTGAGGTACATGGAACGACGAAATTTAAAACCGTATTTCACAAACCAAAAAATTAAATGCCGATTTACTAAACACCAGATGTATCAAAAACAGGATAAAATGAAAGTAAAATGAACCAAGTTTTAGTCATGTGTATTTTTATAGTTAAAATAAGCAAAAAACAACTAACTATTTTGGGAAGGAAACTGTAAGATACCCTTATAGTTAGGAACGTAAAATCCCTTTTACAGTAATAGGGACGTGAGTGACACATCACAATTAAGCTGATACTGATTCAATAGAAAATGTATTCTTAAAGGTCCTGTAAGCGTTCCCAATAAGATGTTTGCATGATAACATTTCAGCTACATTTTACTCGTTATAAGTTACTGCCAACGATCCAGCTGACATACTTGCAACGCTATTTCGGTAAATTGAATAATATACAATTTTTTCTTACTCCCAAAACGGCTAGCATAAGATTACAACATGACTGACGATTAAATATTTCACAATTACCATCAGTCTTATGGTTCGTCACAGTTATGCCATAACAGAGCATCATTAGCTTTAAACATGATTTTAGAATTAGCACCACACATATTGTCATTTATCCAACGCATAACTTCGAAGTAATCATTACTTCTAAGAAGCCCCCCCCCCCCCCCAGTGGCATAACGGAACGTCCGCAGACTTATATTGCTAGAAACCAGGTTTCGATACCTGTGGTGGGGCAGAGCACAGATAGCCGTTTGTGTAGCTTTGTGCTTAATAACAAACAACAACTACTTCTAAGAAAATGAAATGGATATTAAAATAAATTATAAATATAATGAAATTTGTTTTTAAAAAAATCCAAAATATCACTGAAAATATATCAAGCAATTTCTGAAGTAAACATGTTCAGTAAAATAACAATGACGTCTTCAATAAATAAATAAAAAAATAGCTTCCGGGCTAAGAATCTATATGATTAAAAGAGTAATGTTTGTGCGTGCGTAGAAAGCTTTTTAAACTCCAGTGAACTATGCAAAATGAAATTAGGAGTATGGAAGTACGGATGAGGTCATCATATGCGTAAAGGAGGAGTGGGTGTAGATAGAAATATGCATTGCAAAGAGAAAGGTATTTGGGGAATGGACCTGCCAACCTTTAGAACCCCATCTCAGACAGCAGTGTTTATGTGTTAAGGTTGTGTGTGTGAATTTCTTCATGTATTTATGGACACTTAGAGTACCGGTACTGTCACCCTGTTGAGTTTATTACTTTCCCCCTATACTCAGGTTTTGAAAGCGTCGCTAGATCTGGTATCTCGTACTAGGTAAGTCGATCGGCTTGTCATTTTTGATCAGACCATTTGGCTCAAACTGTCTTTTGTACTAGAGGTGTTTGGTGGGTATCACGTGTTGTGGAATACGTTTAACCCACTTAAGTTTAACATCGCAGTCACTGAAACGCCCCGCACGGCCATCAAACTTGTTCAGAACTCTACTTATCTAACCTCATATACGAGTAGTCTAGGCAGGTCACAACTGCTTTAATTACTTTAAATAAACAGCAATGCCTTTACATTTTATAAACTATGTACATTCATATTCAAGATACCACAACCAAAAAACGTGTTTCGTACACGAAGCACGTGTTTCCTCCCTAGTCCTTTATTAAGTTGCAGAGAAGACAAGAACAATTTGTTGCCGAAAAACGCTCTCCGCCCTTTGGGGATATGGGTGTGCTATAAGGTTAACGGTAAAAACCTACTATTCGGTTAGATAAGGGTGAACCAAGAGTGGGTGGTGGGTACTGTTGACTATTTTTACATAGCTTTGCGCGATAAATTCAAGGAGCATTAAAACATAACACTTCATATCTCTTTTCCATTTTATTATCTTAGTCGTTAATTTAACCATTTAATGTTGTTTTGTTGTCAAGAACCATGAATCATGCGATTCACAGTCCGGGCATGCTACCTTTTAGGATATCCTATGCCTCCCCTTTTTCTTGAGAGACAAAACTTTTAAGATTGTATAAATGTAATGAAATAGTAGTTTAAAATCGCATAATCGAAAAAGAGCCCCCCCCCATTGGCACAGCGGTATGTCTGCGGACTTACAACGCTAGAATCCGGTTTCGATACCCATGGTGAGCAGAGCACAGATAGCCCATTGTGTAGCTTTATGCTTAATTACAAACAAACAAACAAACAAAAATCGAAGAAGAAAAATATTATACGGTGAATTTAAGATGGCAGCACTGGTTAAGATGGCAGCACTAGTGTTTATAAATATATTCCTTTCTCTCCCTCGACGATAAATAGGAAATGGTATTGTTCTGTTAAATCTGGCACAAAAATTAATCTTGGGAAATACTTTTAATGCAACAAATCTTATTCGATGTTCTGAATAGACTACATAATGTTTTCCCTCAAGTAAATCAAAAGTTTAAAAAACTGAACATTGAAACTTTAGTTAAAGAAAACGGGCATAAAACGATTTTTTTAAGATCTACCACCAGGCATGATACCCGTTTAGATCTAACTTGAAGTCAGTTTTCACTGTTTACAGTTTCATCTTACGCTTATAAGTCGCAACAAGTAAACACTATCTTTATAATGAAATGTGAAATACAATGGTCCGTAACTGTTACGATGAAACGTTTTTCCTCAAGACAAATTAATAATGTATTACAGATGACTGTTCGGAGAAAAAGCAATTCAAACTACTATTAGGACCCCCCCCCCTCATATTTCGAGATATTTAGGTTCAAAACATCCCCCGTCCCTCCTCTTTCTCCCCCGTAACGGATGGAAAATTAGAGAAAAACTAAAACTACGGCCTAACGTGACAGTACAGAACTGAAATATGTAAGAAAAACAGAAATCATAACAATATAAACTATTGTATTTGCTATAACCACAATGAAGGATACACGCGGTATGGTTTTCTGCTCGACAGTTTGTGTGACATTACATCGCGAAAAGACTGGTAATAATTCATAACAGTAGAGAAAGATTTGTTAAAAATTATCCGTCTCATTCTGGTTTTTAGTATGACACAAACTATTGATTAATAGATCAGGCTTTGCTGGCATAACAAGCTGTTTAGCATAGTAGTAACATTTTGTTGTTATTATAAGCAAACAATATTAAACAAACATTTTCTAGAAATTAAAAACTAAAAAATGATGTAAGTTGTAGAACAGGCTTTGTAATGTTTTTCTAAAACATGTTGAAATGCTTTCAGTTTTGTAGTAATAAGTAAACTGTCACTTTTGAGTAACCGATTGCGAGAGTAAAACAATGTAAACGAAATATTCGCTTCACGTATTTTAGTAGAATGGCTCTTGAACAAGAATGTGTCAATTACCTTTAAAAAGTTGAAAATATTTCATACCAAAACATATAAACATAAATAAGAAAAATTCAAGACATACGTCATATAAACACTGCACATGCGAATGAATGAACCGGTTAAACAAGATGTAAGGTATTTAATGTTCACGAACTCGTTGTGGTTTCTAATTGGCTGGGAGGGGCTTTTTAGTTCCAAATGTGTCTTTCGTTTTCCTCAGTTTCCATTTTATTTTTATTTTAATTTTGGAAACAATTTTTCATTGTACTAGTTTTTTACTGTTGTTGTTTTTGTTATTGTCGAATATCATTAAGATAACTTACCTGATGATAGTCCGTGGTTTGAACCGTGTCCATTTACTTGTCTCGATACAAGATCAAGAGGAGAAGCGTGATGAAGAAGGCTCGGTTGATTGTGGTGGTGATGGTTATGATGATGGTGAGGTGTGTGGTGAGAGTGCCGTGAGCCACTGACCATCTCGGCGTACTGTGTATAACTAGAACGACGCCCTTCCCTCCTATTGCCATCAATAGCTGCCTGCAGCTCCTCCGGCGTACTGAGTTTCTCCTTCTCACATTCGTAGGGGTAGAGATATTTCATATATCTGTTGAGATTCAAAATACATAAGAAACATCATCAAAATATAAAGGAGACAACACTGCAGGCGGGTTTATAATACTACAAAATACATCAGTGAGAAAATACGATATGATAATAGAAGATACATGTCTTTAACATTTATCTTCTTTATTTTAAAACTTCCAATCACGTTCGAAGCATAAGATTTCTTTAACAGTACATGTGTTTTTTTTAAGAAGAGAGTTAACATAAAAATACACCCTATGTTAAATGTCAACAATTAGTGGCTGTTTGTGTAAGTCAGGTGCTAGAACATTATTGTTGTGGCCACTGCATGTTTAGGCAATTTTATACTGTTGATAAAAAACAAAAAGATACATATACAGGGAGAATACGAAACTGTTTAGAAATAAAACATGAACAGAAAGACGGGAGAGAATCAGAGAGAAATTGAGTTAATTTAGTATTGAAACTTAAGACCAGACCTTCCAAGGGACTATTTTTATTCCACAAAGTCCCAATACCAATAAACGCTTAACCGAGATTAAATGCCCAAGAAGCGCTCATAGTATTTAATTATGCAGTAATTTCTACGCTCTTCGTGCGTTTGTGTAATATTAGACCCAAAAGTAATAATCAAACAGATTAAACTAGTGACATATCTTGTACTGCATATAAATATACGTAGGGAAACTGGATTTCCGCGTGGACAACTACATCATTTTATTTAGTTTTTTATATTAATTCAAAGACATTCTTCTTGTCAACTAGTAAAATAAATCTGCAACTTACGCATGAATAATTCATGACTGCGGGAGCCAAGTTCAAACTCGGTTGCTTATGTGAGCAAGAAGGGTCCATTAACCAATAGCAGCTCAGAAAACGAAGGCTTCAGCATAACTAACACTAATTATGAGTGCCATGTAAAGGATAATTATTTTAAAAAAAGGAGCAATTAAAAAAAGTATTTGATTATGCATAGCAGTTAAACAGGGAAAAATATCATTATGTAAATACGACTATTCGGGAAAGCATTTCTCTTTCCTTAGTTTTTCAAGGTACACCAGGTATAATTCAATACATCTAGAGTTCAGGTAAGAAAGTAGTGAGGCGTCAGCCATGTGACCCGTGACCTTTGACTTTACCATTTAAAAAATCAACGAAATGATTTTGCTTCATCGGTATTCCATCTCACAACATTATGTTCAGTAACTGATAAATAGCTTCCTCCTAATATGATAAAAATCAACGTTGGAAAATTTTCGATCTAAAGTAATTTAAACAATGTTATGCTACTTCAGAAAAACGGAGATACAACAGATAGTGGAAGCAAAATTAAGTATTATGATAGTATAGAGTTGTTGGTCGAACAAATGCACACTGATAAGGCGATACATGAGAGCACGGGAAAATACTTTAAAGGATAAAAAACATTACTCGAAAAACAGGCAAATACATTTACTTTCAACTATTTATACCTGCACACAAAGTAAGAACGATATCACAAAAAGACAAAGTATCTAGCGTGTTAATCTGTTTCAGAATTACTTATAAATCTACCTGCGCGTGGCCTTCCTAATTCTGAACTGATAAGACTAGGGGAAGGCAATTAGTCAACAATACCAACTGCCAATTCTTGGGCTATCTTATCTGTTTGAATAGTGGGATCTAGCCGTTATTCTTATAGCCCATTCACGGCAAAGGGTCACGAGCCATGAATCTTCCGACTGACAGTCCAAGCTCGCTGACCACTAGGCCACCTTTAAACGTTCCTAAAATATTGAAAACCTATTAAGACATATAACATATCTTAAAATGTTTCTCTATCTTTATTCGTCTATTTATTTATTTCTTCGTTCATAGGCCTAGCATGGCCAGGTGGTTAGGGCGCTCGACTCGCAATCTGCGGGTCGTGTGTTCGAATTTCCGTCACACCAAACATGCTCGCACTTTCAGTCGTGGAGGCGTTATTATGTGACGATTAATCCCACTATTTGTTGGTAAAAGAGTAGCCCAAGAGTTGGCGGTAGGTGGTGATGACTAGCTGCCTTCCCTCTAGTCTCACACTACTGAATTAGGGACAGCTAGCGCAGATAGCCCTCGTGTAGCTTTGTGCGAAATTCAAAACAAACAAACCAAACAATCTTCGTTCATTCTCTACCTATGGAATGAATTGATAGAAATTAATAAGAAACTTAGTGCGGCTTAGAAGGGGTTTCAACCTTTTTAGTTTAGCGTTAACGGAGGAAATTTTAGTTTATGATGGATATCGTTTGTCCAATTTACTTATTACAAGATCCACTTGATAACTCTTATAACCTTTTGCCTTAAAGTATCTGCTTTTCATATGTGTAATTTTTAAGGTAATATATTTTTTCTTTTTTTATAATAATTGAATTCGGCTGTTTGCAATATAATTGAAACTATTTTAAGTATATTTACGTCATTTGAATTTTCTATTAAATCATATGGAACTATGTTATGAGTTGAGAAGTTTTTTGCAGGTGTGATTTGAAAAGATACTAATTGAAGAAAAAATATTTCAGGGTACTCTACACTTTTATAATTTTTCTCTTCTTAAAAAGACCTCTTTTCCTTAACAGACGGCCTTCTTTTTATTTCTCAGAACATCTGGTGTGATGCCGAAAAATATAGATTCAGAGTTGAATAAATGTAAGACCAAGTATTCTATGTTTTATTACATTAACATTTAAGACATGTATAATTTTGATCACTGTAAAATTTCTATGAACATACCTATCTAACATTTAAATCAATCAAGTCAGCTTAGTGGTTAGTATGCCGGGCTATGGATCAGGGGGTCAAAGGTTTGAGATGTGATGCCGCTAAACGCTTCGCGCTACTAGCTGTGGGCACTTTATACAAGTGACAATTACTTCTATTATTTCGCTTCAAAGAACCGGACAAAGCCTTTGTCGCGTCAGGTGCTACTGACTGATTGCCCTCTCTCTGGTGAGTAGTTCAAAAATAAATTATGACTATGCCTAAACCTTCGGGATTTCTGACCTTTAGCCCATGTCTTACATAAATTGCAGTTTAGGTTCAAAATTCCAATTTCGATTTTTTTCATACACAGCATACAGTCCAGTGTGGCTTTGCTCTAAAACAAATCTTATTTTAGAATAAAACACATACTTGTATCCAAAACTCGTCGCCTAAAACATACTCTAAAATCATTTTTACGCTATAAATTTAAAATGATGTTTTGTAAGTAACCGTAACACGATGGTTTCCAGATAACAATGTGCATTCCAGATAACATTCTGATATTATTTAACACACTGTTTTCAATAACATGTTGCAAGAAATGATTGAAACATTTTTAAGATTTCACAGAAACTCAAACATTGTATTTTTGCCACGTTTCTATAAACTTATCTAAAAACAAATGAGTACTCACAACAACGATCACTAATGACTTGAGACAATATAAATTGAACTTTAAAAAAAAAGAAAAAGCTATTGCACTACGAAGCGACAAACAGAATTATTTCCCACGCACACCACTATACCAGAGAGACTATTTTATCACAGTAATATTAATTGTTCTAGGCGAACACTGCATACGATTAATTGGAAGGTACTCTTTAAAGTTTTAGCAATAGGGATGTCTATTGGTTAACATTTCGAATGTATAGCACGGTAGAAGTCTGTGTTTACATACACACTTTTTGTCTTTTGTTAAAGTTTTCGTTGTCGTGCTTCACTGATGTTTTATAAGTGTATTATATCAAGATTAACTAATTCGCAATTAACGTGAAGCCATATTTTCGTTATTTCAGCTGAATTGCCAAAGGAAATACTTTATATTCCACGCATGCGCATTATATTTCAATGATATGGTTATGAATTTTATGCCTACGTGCAAACATAAAAAAAAAAAATCCAATTAGGCCCCCCTTCTGGCAGAAAGGAAGCCTACTACGTTGTATGTGTATTACTACACATAACACATATGTTAGTGCAAATGTATCAAGCTATTGGATGAGTCAGACTCCCGCAACGACGTCATTCTACAAGTTCTCTCTGAAACCCCTGGAGTTTTTCTGTAATCAAATTACGGTTCTTGGCAAACCGAGGAAACAGATTCATGAGGTACAGAAAACTCTGAAATAATTTTACAGGCGCTCGCTGTAGGTTAACTTAATTCTAAAATCTTTACTTCTAGCAAGTATATACGTCATTATGTAATATGACTCATCTCAGCACACTGCAAAATATCATTAAGCCTGAGAAATGCTTCATCAATCCGATAAATCCCATGATTCACAATACAAACTCACACTGTCATTGTACTTTGTTCTATAAGTATTAAACAAGAAACTAAATATTCGTGAATAAATGAATTAGTTAATTTTCCATTAACTATAGATGTCACAATTTATAAAATACAAATGTTTACAACAGAATATCTACAACGTAGATCATATTACATTTTTTGGATTCATGGACACAACTAACAATACACAGAGCAGAGATTCTCAAGTGTACAAGGAACCACAAATAATTTAAGATTAGTAAATTCTTCATAAAAGTACATGATTCTGAAATATTATAATTTTATACGGATGCAGCATCCACCGCCAACTTTTGGACTACTTTAATCGAATCTTGGGATTTGACCGTTACTTTTTATAACGCACCCAAGACCTCATGGTCTGGAGTGCACCTTTGCGGCAATGGGAGAAGAACCATATATCCCACAGTCTGACATGCTAACAGTCAGCACCCGGTCCACTGGTAATTGTGATGACAACTGCCAACACTTTCTATACAGTTCAATTATGCTCCGAAATTCTACTGTTATCACGGCGTTGTAGTTTTTTCTTTTGACTTTCATTTCTACTTCTTCGTAAATCACATGAAAATTTCATAGGCTACGCAAGAATATGCAATAGATAAAAACACAGCATCTGCCTCTCAGTAATAAATACACCTAGAACATCATTCTCACACCAGTACTATGATTTTAAAGTTTATTCAGAAAATTCCAAACATAAATAA